TAATAGTCAATGAATTAATTAATATTATTTATGAGTGGATAGTTATGAAAGTAATGTTCTATTTTATTGTTGTGACGTAGTTATTTATTAATCTTTGTGTTTGTGTTTGTCCTTAATATTACAGAGTTGGTCTTTTCGTTGATATTTTTTACCAAGACATATAGTTTACTTTGAAATTTTTGAATGTATATATGTATGTGTAATGTGCATAATGTACAAATATAATTTAATTTGAAAATTTAGAAGTACATAGTTTATAAGTTACGATGCTTAAACCATGTATTCAAATTTGAACTAAAATAAAAAATTATTATAACATATAAGCTGAATTATTTATAGACGATGTGTAGATGATGTTTATAGAATAATGTACATTATTCATTTATGTGTTTATATTATTATTATAAGCCAAATGATTTTATTACTGTACTATATTATAGAAAAATGTTGAAGTAGTTGAATGAAATAATAATAAATGCAATTGTTGAAAATTAAATTTAAATAAACTGCTATATGTATGAATATAAAATCATTGTTTTAGTGAAATATTTGATATTTATAAAAATAAATCCTAAATATAATGAAAAATATATTTTTATTTAAACTTGATATAATATGCTTAATATCCACAGGACACTATAATATTTGAATTTTAATAAAATTATATTTTATTTGTATTTTTATTTTATATAGTTTTATTTGGTTTTTTAAAATAGTTATTTCATTAGAATATTTTTATATTAAATAAAAAAATATTATTTAATTTATTATGTAGTTTTTTAATCAATAATGAAATTTTATACACGAATATACAGTACTTGACATTTAAAACAATATTTATCAAAATAAGACCCAAAATGTCTAATAAAGTAATTGACACAGTTCCAAACCCTATTGGCGTAGTCGGCTAGAACTCTAAACTCGACCTTTTTATGATGTAGCAGCCTCAGAAACCCGGTTCGAATCTCACCCATAACAAATAGGATTTTTATGCCAACATTGGTAAAATCTTGATTGAATTTCAAACCTATATAATTATTAATATTTATAATTTAAGTTGAATCACTCATGCATTATTATGAAAATGCACTACACGATACTCTTTTTTAAAGGATTTTGCACTGTCATTCGCAGCAGTGCCCGACATGCGCCATTTTCAATTGGAAACATATTTATTTGTGTTTTACAAATGTTAATTAACACAATTTGTAGTTCAGGTCATACAAATTTTGAAGTAAGTAGTTTGATTGCATATTAATTTATTTTTTAGTTTATAATAGTTTATCTATAAACTCTTGTTCTATCTACGATTTTATTGTTAAAAACTCATTGAACTCTAAAGTAGGCGTTTAAGATGGCGCCATTTGACGGCCATCAATAAAACACTCTGCAGTTGCATATCTTTGTATAAATGTATGAACGATCTGTCAAATCTAAAATATGGAAAACCAATTTTAATTCTTTTATAATTAGACTTGGTCGAGAAAACATGGTAAAAAGCAGGACCCATTTATGAAGTGAGTACTTTATATATAATGTAGTTAATTGCGCAAAAAATACTTTACGTTCGGGACAAGGCACCTGTTGGGTAAAAATAGTTTAAATTATCATTTCATTGTCATCGTGTAGAAGCTATTTTTATTATCATTGCAATTATTAAAGTTTTCATTCACAAGAACAGCAGCAATCGCTATCAATGCACAAGGTATTTATAATTTTTGTTAAATATTTTTTTGATGTTTAACTGCAATCAGAACTTAACGAGTCCTATGAACTATTGTGATGACTATTTAATGACGTAGCTTTATTGAAGACGAACCAATCGATGAATTTGAGTGAGCAAACTTATCCGGAAACAAATTAATTTATAAATAAGAGTAATTTTATATATCTAATGATAGGTAAGAGCAAGAACAAATTGTTTTATCTTGTAAGAAGCAGTCAACTAAAAAAGCAATATTATGATCTATTAAGGTAAATGTACACTATTCGGGGATAGTACATTATTACGGGAGTTTTTTATTTTGATCGCAAAGTAAGAAAACGGTCGGTCAATAATAATTTTATACAATAGCATATCAATTATATTTTGAATCGTAACAAAATAGTACGATTTTTGAATTTAAATGCTAAAAAGGCTTTTTAGCGCATCGGTCATGACCCGATCGTCATTTTTTACTGGCTTGTTATCTAGTTTGATTAATGTGACGGCTGCATTGCTGATTGCTGTTTTTATTCGATGTCGGTAAACTTACTCGATTCAAATTTCTGAAATTATTGATCAGTATTAATAAGAGATTAGTTTTATAGTTTAATCGTGCACATATTTGTCAAGAAATTGTCAATTTCATGACTCCCGTAATTAGGTACATACAACTCGCAATTACGAAAAGTAGACTTCAAATGTTTGTCTTTTATTTTCAACTGCGCTTAAATTTGGCGGAGTTTCTGGTGTTAATAAGTTCGGTAATGCCTACAGAACACTGTAACTTAATTACGGTATATTTATTTTATTTTTTATCTATGTATATATTTATATCTTTTCATCTATGATGAATTATTTCTGCTATATAAATTGAATAAAAGTACAGGTAAACTCCGTATAGCGCACGGTACTAATGGTTCACTATTTTGCTTGTATGCATGCATGTATGCAGAAATCTAGGGACATTCCTGTAAACATGGTAGTTTTAATACGATTAAGACAGTGATCTTTTGGAATATAACCATTATATAACCTGCATATTAATAAAACATACATCATAAGTTATTAAATTAATTTCAATTTCAATTACTCAAAAATACGTTACCGATACTACTCTTGAATGCAGTATCTTTCTAATAGTAGAACCCAATATCAGTAAATCCCAAATAGGGTATGATTTTAAATAGTTCTTTCAGTTTTTCAAAGAATGATGACTCCAGTTAAATATTCACCCAAATCTCTGGAAAAGGCATTAAAAAAAATTTGCAATAGTATATTAACTGTTTTTTAAAACTTCAAAAACACACAGAATTCCCAGTCAAACCTGATTTAAACTAGTTTGCTTTAATTTGAAAGACTTTAAAGATTATTTACATTTGTTGGTAGAATTGTAACCTTTTTTTTTCAAGTTTAAATTTTTCATCTTGAGTTTAAATTTTATATTTATTTAAAGTTTATATTTTTGTTCAATCGCCGTTAAAATTATTCTTTTTCTGTTTCATATTTTTTATTTGATTTATTTGCCGAAACTTTCAGCATTGATAATAATTATTACACTGTTACTGTAATAATACCATCTTTTATTTTTGTTTTGGAAGTTTTTCAAAACTAAATTAAATAAATGTTTAAAATTATATCAAATTATTATTTTTTAATTAACCATATGTTTACCATATAACCAATTCAAGTAAAGGGTTCGCCTTATAACTTTTTTTTATTGGTAGCAATTTAGAATTTTTGATAGCCATTAAAAAGTTAGAGAGCCATTTCAATGAAATTATTTTCGATTATTAACCAGAAGGATTGCACTTTCAAATAGAAAAGATTTAAATTGAGAAAATATTCAGTAGTTTATATATAGCATTTTCAAAAAAAAAAGTTATCTGACGGACCCCTTATATCAATCAAGGCAATACGATCAATACAATGTATGCTTCGAGCGCTATCGCGGAATAGTGAATCTAGTGGTTCATCAAAATGCCGAATATTTCTATAAATGAAATTTTACGCCGCAAAATTTTATTTTTAAATAGAACAGTTTTAGCTCGTTCACTTTCCTACTTTTTTTACAAATCATTTTTAAAGTCAAACGTTTCTTAATATCCCGTAATATGGTATATTTACCTTAATTACATTATTTTATTTCATGATTATTTTTCTATTAAGTTGAATTTATGTTTCTATATAATATAAACGATTCAATTTTGTACAAATTATATCACCTAAATCCACTGATTGGTTCAAAACTACAATATATGGCATAAATAAATGTTACAAAGCTAGTTAAATTTACTTTCCATGAAAGCTATTTTTTATTCTCAATGCGTCATTTTTCTCTTGAACTAAATGATACAGAATATTTGTTACAATTCGAATGAATATAAAGATACAGATTGAGATTATTGTGTGCTTCTCTGAAGCGACTGCATAGCACATGAGGACAGCTTTGGTGAGGTATCAACAATGACATTTAATAATGTATATATAATATGCAACATTGTTCAATAATCAATTGCGTATTTTGCAGGTACAGGTAGGTTTGCTGCTACCAGTTACTACAGTAATTTTATGCAGAGTCTTTCAGTTTTTATGCGAACATTGTTACTGTGACGCACTGATTGTGGTATTTATTGGAATTGCATTTGGTACGAGTAGATTTTTTAAACAGTGATTTTACTCAAGATATTGATCAATACTTCAGTTCTCACTATAACTTTACAAAATTTAATTACATTTACAAAACTTAAATTTACAAAATCATTAAAGCATTGAATTTCATGATTCGAATGATCATTTGCACGATATGCCTTGCATGTGGGTTAATTTATTAGTTAGGTAGCATCAGTAGTTTTATTATTAATAATAACAAATACTAACACACTAATCTATTCAACTATTAAAAAATAATGTGGTCGTTTGAATCATTTGAGATGCAATGTGGATTTGACGTATCACATTACATTTTAATTTTCACTGTTTTCAATTCATGTTAATGCATTTTATATGAAACCAAATGCAATTCTTAAACTGCTAATAAATTGTGCTGCATTATATTTCTGGACATCAAGATGAAATCACATAGAGGCCACAACATATATCGAGCAAATTGAGTCGAATGGCCAAGCATCGAGCAAAAATTCAGTTTACATTTATTTTATTTTATCAATCATTGATTTATTTTGATGACTTAATTTATTCTTTACTAGATCTACTTTATTATTTTTTAGGCATATTTGATTTGTCACTGTGGTCAACTAGAATGATACAACTATGAACATATTTTGAAAGCATTTCGAGTATGAATCACTCAGATTTCGCAAACATTAATAGCTCCATTTTATCGTATAAACATTTTAAGACTTAAGAATAAATGCTCTTCAAAGAGGACTAATAAGTTTGATAAATTCGAATTTACTACAATGATTGGATTGCAAATTGGTCAGCCTCGCATAATAGTTAATAAGCTAGCCGAAGCAAACTAACAAGTAAGTGTCCAGTAATCAATAATTAGCACACTATTATTTTCATATGGTGTTCGTTTTTTATTCTTTTTTTATTTCTGCATATATATTTAATTCAACAATAAATTTTTTATCACTCTTTCTGCATTTCTTTGCATTAATAATAAAAAAATTATTATAGCTTTTAGGTTGCTTAAGCATTTAAACTCCACACAGACTTCTTTACGAGGGATCTTTTGGTAATGCATCAACTGTTTTATGAAATATCTATATATAACATCAATGTATTCATTAATGTTTTTGTTTATTCCAGATGCTGGTTCTTTAACATCCAATTCAGTAATTGAAAAATCTTTATGCCGATTCCTTTACCAGACATTTCTCCATATTTTATAAAGTTTGTCTGCACACTGACTCCTTCACCAGGAATTGCTTTAAAAATATTTCATGAAGTAAGTTTTTATCCATAATCCGTATAAATGTAAACAATACATAACATGTTCATTTTTTTTACAGGTCCTGTCAACAACTGTTGCTCTGCATTCACACTCTTTCACCTGGAATCCATACCAGTATAAATGCAAACATTCCTAAAATGATTTTTTTCAGGTTATTTCAACTACCACTGCTCTGCACACTGACTCCTTCACCAGCAATCTTTCCTGAATCATTTTAACACGTATGTTTTTAGCCATACCAGTATAAATGCAAACATTCTTAAAATGATTTTTTCAGGTCCTTTCAACTACTGCTGCTCTGCACACTGACTCCTTCACCAGGATTCGCTCTGAAAATATTTCATGAAGTACGTTTTATCCATAATCAATATAAATGTGAACAATAAAAACTTGTTTATTTTTTTTCCAGATCCTTTCAACTACTACTGACTCCTTCACCAGGAATCGCTCTGAAAATATTTTATGAAGTACGTTTTCATCCATAATCAGTATAAATATGAACAATAAATAACATATTTATTTTTTTACAGGTCCTCTTAACAACTGTTGCTCTGCACTCACATTCCTTCACCAAGAATCTTTCCTGAATCATTTTACCAGGTACGTTTTTATCCATACCAGTATAAATGCAAAGATTCCTAAAATGATTTTTTTTTCAGGTTATTTGAACTACCACTGCTCTGCACACTGACTCCTTCACCAGGAATCTTTCCAGAAACATTTTACGAGGTCTGTGTTTATCCATACCAGTATAATGCAAACATTCCTAAAATGATTCTTTTTTTTTTTCAGATCCTTTCAACTACTGCTGCTCTGCACACTGACTCCTTCACCAGGAATCTTTCCAGGAACATTTTAGGGTATATTTCAGGTATTTGTTTATCAATAACCAGAATAAATGCAAACATGCTTAAAATGCTTCTTTCTTTTTTTGCAGATCTTGTCAATCCAAATATTACTATCCTGAAGCTGTAACATCGAGAGCTTCGAATACTCATTCATGTGAGTGACTCGCAAGTGTTTTTTTTAATAACTACCTATAATTATGCATGATTAACTCAACTTTTATTAACTCAATAACATGACTAACCTCACTAACTTAATCAGTTATTATAAAAATCACTTGTTGAGTTTTACTATGAAGGTCGTACTGAGGGTGCTTGGAGGACACAGCCGAGTGATTAATCAGGTAATATATTATCATAGTATATTTTGAGACTTGTTACTAATTCATTGTTATTGTTTATAGGGTAAACGACGACTTAAGGCCAAGTAGTCTTCAACTCTCAAGTCACTCAAGGCTTGTTCTTCAGCGAAAATAGTCGTCCGATCTACTAATTATGCTGTCCCAAGTAAATATCTCCGTCTTGTCGTCAGAGAAGGTGTCTACTGTGATATATTAAATAGTTAAGTGCGTATATGTTAATGAAATAATGAATAAATATATTGTATTTAATTTAATTTGTTTTTTTAATTTAATTATGAGCCACTTTACGGCCAAATTATATTATGCTATCACGTAAATTACAAAAATATTTAAACATTTCTTGCGTTATTAATAGGGATACTTATTGAATGCACTTTTTAGTGTAGACAATTGTGTAAAACGGTTTGTTTACTGTTTGGGTGTTTACAACCATCTTGCCGCATCTTAGTTAAGCTCCTTATAAATTTGCTTTGACTCGGAAGAACTCTGCGTCGTTGCTTTGACTTTTTTGCAAACCCTTCTGTTAGGCGAGTGCCTTAAACATTTAATACGTCGGACCGATGTTTTCTCTTGTTTAAATATTTTACTTTCCATTATTTCTTTAAATTGTGCACTTTTCTTCTTAGCTATAAATATCACTGTGTTATTATTATATATACATATATATTAGGGTGATCCTTAAAATGGTCACTTTTGAATTTCCTTGGTCCCAGGGGCCCAAATGGTTCCAAATAGATAAAAAACAATTCTCTGAAAGTTTTAGTTCTTAATATTAACGTTTAGATAGAGCGCAATTCAAAGTTTTGTATGGAAATAGCATGAAAATTTTTTCAAAAATTTAAATTTATATATATATATATATATATATATATATATATATTTATATATTTAAATTGAAATTTATATATAAATTATAAATATAATTTATATATATATATATATATATATATTACTATTAGACATATGTTAATGTATTTTAATTATTTTTGTTAATGCAATTGCAAGAATAAATTAATATAATTGTATTATTAAATAGTGTGATACATTGATTGGAAGTATTGAATAAAACTAACTAAACTTTATTTGCCATGTTTTATTTCACACCATTTTCAGTGATATATAAATATCACTGTGTTATTATTATATATACATATATATATTAGGGTGATCCTTAAAATGGTCACTTTCGAATTTCCTTGGTCCCAGGGGCCCAAATGGTTCCAAATAGATAAAAAACAATTCTCTGAAAGTTTTAGTTCTTAATATTAACGTTTAGATAGAGCGCAACTCAGTTTTGTATGGAAATAGCATGGAAAATTTTTCAAAAATTTTAATTTATATATATATATATATATATATATATATTTATATATTTAAATTAAAATTTATATATAAATTATAAATATAATTTATATATATATATATATATATATATTACTATTAGACATATGTTAATGTATTTTAATTATTTTTGTTAATGCAATTGCAAGAATAAATTAATATAATTGTATTATTAGATAGTGTGATACATTGATTAGAAGATTTGAATAAAACTAACTGAACTTCATTTGGAGTGTTTCATTTCACACAATTTTCAGTGATATATATTAGAAACACAACATACAGGTACAGGTATTATAAACTGATAAGCTAATGTTTTAAACATTAATATACTCATTAATTCGTTCTTCGAAGAGGATTTATTATTTTGAATAAATTTCATATAATATAATTTTTGTAATCTAATTCTATCATAATCAATAAAGTTAATGTAGTTATAACTTTGGCCATTTTAAATAGACTAATCTATGGTTTTTCACTTATTTCAAAAATATTAACATTTTTCAATCACTTTAATCTATATTATTATTTAAAGTCTTAATTAGTTCATTTTAGTTAATATACTTTGAATATTGGCCAGTTTTACTTAACTATAACTTATAAAAAAAAATTACTTAACTATAACTTGTAAAAAAAAATTCGAGTCCTCAGTCTTGTGTTATTTTCTTCTTTTGCACAAGAATATCTTCATTATTATTAATAAATCTTAATTTTTATTCGCTTAATTATTACGTTAATTACATTCATATTCTTACCATATTTACCCTACCATCTCTTATTTTACTTTACACTACCTTACCATAACCTTACACTACCTTAACCTAATACTTACCTACGTTAAGAACTAATACTCTTATACTTTACTTACCTTTACCACGTCTCGAACCTGCTACCCTGTCCTCTCCAGCGACTCCCACCTCCCAACGCGCGACGCCACGACGATCACATTAATAAACCGTTACAAAGTAGGTGATATTATATATTTTAAACGAAAAAAAATTAACAGGTCATATGGCCAAAAAAAATTTGAGTTGGCGTGGCCTGTGTTGGCGTAATTGGTAGAGTGATGGCTTCGTACCGTAAAGGTACCGAGTTCGAATCATAGATCAGGACAAAAAACGGGAAGAAGTAGTGCTGTTCGCGTTGAGGAATTTATTTATTGTAAGATAGCACAAAGATAAAATTTAGATTAAATAAACTGAGAGGTCATGAGGCCGAAAAAAAGCACATTCGGTATGGCCTGTGTTGGCGTATTGCTAGTGTGCTAGCTTCATGTCAACAGGGTACCGAGTTCGATTCATACCTCCGGACACAAAACGCAAAATAGCGTGACTGTTGACGCTGTGGAACGAGGTATGCACGGAATCACATCCGTTCGAATTTGAGACCCCAGGTATGCTCCCCTCGATCTCGATTGAGAGGAGAGATACGCGCGAGAATCCCGTATCATCCCCTCATGAACCCCGCAGCAGCCCCGAAAAGGGGCGAGGGGGGATTATAGGGGGGTGTGGGGTTCACGAACCCGCGACCCTGTGGTCCCGCCCTCGAAAAAGGGAGAGGGGGGACTATAGGGGGGTGAGGGTTCCGCGCGACGACCACCACTGGGTCGCGCCGGTTGAAAAGCTGGGTGCGTCACAGGTTGGGTCGGTGTGCGAGTCCCCGGAGCACCCTCGAGAGCGATGATGGGGATGTGGGGTGAGAAAAATGCAGTGACGAGGGAGAAAGGGGTGAAAAGATATGAGAAGGGAAAGATAGGGATGGTGGGAGAAAGATAGGGGGTGAGATGAGGGGAGGGAAAGAGATAGGGGGAGAGATAAGGGGAGGGAGAGAGATACTAGGGAGGGGAGGGATGAGAACGGGGGAGAGATAGGAGGGGAGGGATGAGAGAGGGGGAGAGAGACGGAGGGAGGGATGGAGCGACGTGCGCGGACACAGTGTCCGCGCAGTGCGGTAACACAGTGTCCGCGCAGGTTATCATTGCAAAATGCGGACACAGTATCCTCCCTTATCGCTTCTTTCCCTCATCCATCCTTTCCTCCGTCTCTCTCCCCCTCTCTCATCCCTCCCCTTCTATCTCTCCCCCTTTCTCATCCCTCCCCTCCTATCACTCCCCCTCTCTCACTCCTCCCTCCTTATCTCTTACTCCCACCATCCCTATCTCTCCCTCCCCATATCTTTTCACCCCTTTTTCTCTCGTCACTGCATTCTTCTCACCCCACATCCCCATCATCGCACTCGAGGGTGCTGCTCCGGGGACTCGCACACCGACCCAACCTGTGACGCACCCAGCTTTTCAACCGGCGCGACCCAGTGGTGGTCGTCGCGCGGAACCCTCACCCCCCTATAGTCCCCCCTCTCCCTTTTTCGAGGGCGGGACCACAGGGTCGCGGGTTCGTGAACCCCACACCCCCCTATAATCCCCCCTCGCCCCTGTTCGGGGCTGCTGCGGGGTTCATTAGGGGATGATACGGGATTCTCGCGCGTATCTCTCCTCTCAACCGAGATCGAGGGGAGCATACCTGGGGTCTCAAATTCGAACGGATGTGATTCCGTGCATACCTCGTTCCACAGCGTCAACAGACCCGCTATTTCGCGTTTTGTGTCCGGAGGTATGAATCGAACTCGGTACCCTGTTAGCATGAAGCTAGCACTCTAGCAATACGCCAACACAGGCCACACCAAATCTGCTTTTTTTCGGCCTCATGACCTATTAGTTTATTAAATCTAAATTTTATCTTTGTGCTATCATACAATAAATAAATTCCACGCTTCCCATTTTTTGTCCCGAGGTATGATTCGAACTCGGCACTCTTTGGATACGAATCCACCACTCTACCAATTACGCCAGCACAGGCCACGTCGATTCTGCTTTCTTTCGGCCTCATGACTTGTTAGTTTGTTATATCTAAATATTAACTTTGTGTTATTCAACAATAAATAAAAACCACAACGTGTGAACATTACTCTTTTTTGTCCCGAGGTATGATTCGAACTCGGTACCTTTTTGTTACGAAGCCATCGCTATACCAATTACGCCAACACAGGCCATACCAACTCAACTTTTTTTGGCCATATGACCTGTTAGTTTGTTTTTCGTTTAAAATATACAATATCACCTACTTTGTAACGGTTTTATAATGTGATCGTCGTGGCGTCGTGCGTTAGGAGGTGGGAGTCGCTGGAGATGGCGGGATAGCAGGTTCGAGCCGTGGTGAGGTAAGCAGGGAAAGAATATTAGTTCTTAACGTAGATAAGTCATGGGTTAAGGTAGTGTGAGTTAAGGTAAGGTAGTGTAAAGTAAGCTAGGTGATGGAAGCGTAAATATGGTGGAATATTAATGTAATTATTACGCTAATAAAAATAAAGACATATTAGTATTAATGAGGATGTCATTGTGCAAAAGAAAAAAGTAACACGAAGGTTGAGGACTTTAATTTTTTTTTATAAGTTAAAGTTAAGTAAAACTGACCAATATTTGAATTTTGTATATTAATGTTAATGTATTATTAATATTGAAGTAGTATATTAATTAAAATGAACTAATTAACAGTTTCAATAATATAAGTGAGTGAAAAATATTAATATTTTTGACATGTTTGTCAAATATTTAATTTTATAATTTAGTAGTCCATTTAAAATGGTAAAAGTTATAATTACGTTAACTTTATTTAATATTTTGATAATAAATAACTAAACAATAAGAAACTAAACCTAATCCATCTCAACCTAATAAAATTCTAATTAAATTTGGACTAATAATTATTATTATTATAGAAAATACAAATATTAATACTAATAATAAAAATCGATTTTTATTAAAATTTTCTATTATATATATATATATATATATATATATATATATATATTCCAATATTTAACTACTATTGAAGAAATCATTAACACAAAACTTATAAATATTAAAGATATTCAATCATGATAGAATTAAATTACAAAAATTATATTATATGAAATTTACTTAAAGTATTAAATCCTCTTCGAAGAACGAATTAATGAGTATTTTAATGTTTATGATAACATTAGCTTACCAGTTTATAATACCTGTACCTGTATGTTGTGTTTCTAATATATATCACTGAAAATGGTGTGAAATGAAACACGCCACATAAAGTTTAGTTCGTTTTATTCAAAACTTCCTGTCAATGTATCACACTATTTAATAATACAATTATATTAATTTATTCTTACAATTGCAATAACAAGAATAATTAAAATACATTAACATTTGCCTAAAACTGAAATATATATATATATATATATATATATATATATATATATAAAACACAGCATGACATTTATAGCTAAGAAGAAAAGTGCTCCATTTAAAGAAATAATAGAAAGTAAACTATTTAAACAAGAGAAAACATCGCTTCAACGTATTAAATGTTTAAGGCACTCGACTAGCATAAGGGTTTGCAAAAAAGCAAGGTGTATTGTCAACGCTTTTCTACCGAGTCAAAGCAACGATGCAGAGTTCTACCAAGTCAAAGCAAATTTATAAGGAGCTTAACTAAGATGCGGCAAGATGGTTGTGAACACCCAAACAATAAACGAACTGTTTTACACAATTGTTTACACTAAGAAGTGCACTCAATAAGTATCCTTATTAATAACAACAAATTTTTAAAATTTAGATATGTTTAAATATTCTTGTAATTTACGTTAGAGCATTATTTGACCGTAAAGTGGCTCATAATTAAATTAAAAAAACAAATTAAATTAAATGCAATATATTTATTCATTATTTCATTAACATATACACACTTAACTATTCAATATATCACAGTAGACACCTTCTCTGGCGACAAGACGGAGATAGTTACTTGGGACAGCATAATTAGTAGATCGGGGCAACTATTTTCGCTAGAGAACAAGCCTTGAGTGACTTGAGAGTTGAAGACACTACTTGGCCTTAAGTAGTCGTTTACCCTATAAACAAAAGCAATGAATTAGTAACAAGTCTCATAAAAGATACTATAATAATAAATTACCTGATTAATCATTCGGCTGTGTCTTCCAAGCACTCTCAGTACGACATTCATAGTAAAACTCAACAAGTGGTTTTTATAGTAACTGATTGTTAGTGAGGTTAGTCATGTTATTGAGTTAGTAAGAGTTAAGTTGAGTTAATCATGCATAATTATAGGCAGTTAATGAAAAAAAAAAACACTTGCGAGTCATACACATGAATGAGTATTCCAAGCTCTTGATGTTAGGAGCTACAGGGCAGTAATAGTTCGATTGAGAAGATCTGCAAAAAAGAAACAATTAGGAAATTGTTTCTATTTATACTGGTATGGGGGTTAACACATACCTGGTAAAATGTTTCTGGAAGGATTCCTGGTTTAAGGAGTCAGTGTGCAGAGCAGCAGTAGTTGAAAGGACCTGAAAAAAAAAGTATCATTTTAGGAATGTTTGCATTTACACTGGTATGGATTAACACATAACTGGTAAAATGTTTCTGAGAGGATTCCTGGTGAAGGAGTCAGTGTGCGGAGCAGCAGTAGTCGAAAGGACCTGGAAAAAAAAGAATCATTTTAGGAATGTTTGCATTTATACTGGTATGGATTAACACATACCTGGTAAAATGTTTCTGGAAAGATTCCTGGTGAAGGAGACAGTGTGCAGAGCAGCAGTAGTTGAAAGGACCTGAAAAAAAAAGTATCATTTTAGGAATGTTTGCATTTACACTGGTATGGATTAACACATACCTGGTAAAATGTTTCTGGAAGGATTCCTGGTGAAGGAGTCAGTTTGCAGAGCAGCAGTAGTTGAAAGTACCTGAAAAAAAAGAATCATTTTAGGAATGTTTGCATTTACACTGGTATGGATTAACACATACCTGGTAAAATGTTTCTGGAAGGATTCCTGGTGAAGGAGTCAGTTTGCAGAGCAGCAGTAGTTGAAAGGACCTGAAAAAAAAAAAGAATCATTTTAGGAATGTTTGCATTTACACTGGTATGGATTATCACATAACTGGTAAAATGTTTCTGAAAGGATTCCTGGTGAAGGAGTCAGTGTGCAGAACAGCAGTAGTCGAAAAGACCTGGAAAAAAAAGAATCATTCTAGGAATGTTTGCATTTATACTGGTATGGATAAACACAGACCTGATAAAATCTTTTTGGAAAAATTCCTGGTGAAGGAGTCAGTGTGCAGAGCAGCAGTAGTCAAAATAACCTAGAAAGAAAAGCAATATGTTTTGTTGATTCTAGGAATGTTTGCATTTATACTGGTATGGATAAACACAGTACCTGGTAAAATGTTTCTGGAAAGATTCCTGGTGAAGGAGTCAGTGTGCAGAGCAGTGGTAGTTGAAATAACCTGAAAAAATCATTTTAGGAATGTTTGCATTTATACTGGTATGGATAAAAACGTACCTGGTAAAATGATTCAGGAAAGATTCCTGGTGAAGGAATGTGAGTGCAGAGCAACAGTTGTTGAGAGGACCTGTAAAAAAATAAATATGTTATTTATTGTTCACATTTATACTGATTATGGATGAAAACGTACTTCATAAAATAATTTCAGAGCGATTTCTGGTGAAGGAGTCAGTGTGCAGAACAGCAGCAGTGGAAAGGATCTGGAAAAAAATAAACATGTTTTAAACATATGGATTGACATATACTTCATAAAATTTGAACGGCTTGGTGGTGTAAAAGTCACAGGTTCTAAAGAGGCCTCGCACTTAACATTTAAATTGTTATATGCATAGACAAACTTTATAAAGTATGGAGAAATGTCTGGTAAAGGAGTCGGTATAAAGATTTTTCAATTGCTGAATTGGATGTTAAAGGACCAGCATCTGGAATAAACAAAAACATTAATGAATACATTGGTGTTATATATAGATATTTCATAAAACAATTACCAAAAATCCCTCGTAAAGGAGTCTGTGTGGAGTTAAAATGCTTAAGCAACCTAAAAGCTATAATATTTTTTTTTATTATTAATGCAAAGAAATGCAGAAACAGTGATAAAAAATTTATTGTTGAATTAAATATATATGCAGAAATAAAAGAATAAAAAACGAACACCATATGAAAATAATAGTGTGCTAATTATTGATTACTGAACACTTACTTGAAAGTTTGCTTCGGCTAGTCTATTATAACTATTATGCGAGGCTGACCAATTTGCAATCCAATCATTGCAGTAAATTCGAATTTATCAAACTTATTAGTCCTCTTTGAAGAGCATTTATTCTTAAGTCTTAAAATGTTTATACGATAAAATGGAGCTATTAATGTTTGCGAAATCTGAGTGATTCATACTCGAAATGCTTTCAAAATATGTTCATAGTTGTATCATTCTAGTTGACCACAGTGACAAATCAAATATGCCTAAAAAATAATAAAGTACATCTAGTAAAGAATAAATTAAGTCATCAAAATAAATCAATGATTGATAAAATAAAATAAATGTAAACTGAATTTTTGCTCGATGCTTGGCCATTCGACTCAATTTGCTCGATATATGTTGTGGCCTCTGTGTGATTTCATCTTGATATCCAGAAATATAATGCAGCACAATTTATTAGCAGTTTAAGAATTGCATTTGGTTTCATATAAATGCATTAACATGAATTGAAAACAGTGAAAATTAAAATGTAATGTGATACGTCAAATCCACATTGCATAATCTCAAATGATTCAAACGACCACATTATTTTTCAATAGTTGAATAGATTAGTGTGTTAGTGTTTGTTATTATTAATAATAAAACTACTGATGCTACCTAACTAATAAATTAACCCACATGCAAGGCATATCGTGCAAATGATCATTCGAATCTTGAGTAAAATTACTGTTTAATAAATCTATTCGTACCAAATGCAATTCTAATAAATACCACATTCAGAGCGTCACAGTAACAATGTTGGTATAAAAACTGAAGGACTCTGGTTGCAGCCAACTCAAACCTACCTGCACCTGCAAAATACACAAATTATTATTGAACTTAGTTGATTATACATATATCATTAAATGTCATTGTTGATGCGTCACCAAAGCTGTATTCGTGTGCAATGCAGCGCTCCAGCGAAGCACAGAGTTTTTACTTCCAATCAAATTGTAACTATCCTTTGTCAATTTGTTGTTCAAATTGAAACTTTTTTCAAGTAAGAGAAATAAAATTATGCATTGAAAACAAAAAATGGCTTTCATGAAAAAGTAATTTTGCTTTAAAATTCTTAATGACATGATGATTGTGGTCCAATATACACAATTCTTCTGATCTATAAATTGAAGTGAGATCGCACATAATGACGTAAATAAACTTCAAATTAAACTACCCGTATGATTGTACTCACAATAATTCTCAAAATGAATTAACAGTCATTATTTTTTACTTTCACAACTTTTTACTATTACTTTCGATTATTTCTTTTGCACAATGACCGCCAGCCATTCAATTGTGAACTCTTGCTCAGTCAACATAATAATAATATGTAGTTTTATTTAAAAGTGGGCACCAAATGATGCAAAATAAAATTATTAGATAAAATATATCTGGCGTACGTCTTAGACAGTAGTACGACTTGAGCAAAAACTACATAAATCGAGCACACGTTTTCCAAAAAAAAAAACAGAAATGATGAACGGTTTCAATTAAATCTAAAACATCTTAAAACACGAAATGCAATCCGAGTGAATCCGCAAAGAGAAATATAATTAGCACAAGTGCAACGTACCAGGTGACGCTCGCAGGTCGCATGTACTCCACAGGCAGCGAAGGGTCAGGCCCGCTCGTCCGTGTTCGACGAAGTCTCGTTGTCTTCTTCCAGCGATCGCCACGATGAAAATGAACTCTCGCAATGACAACTCCCTCTCCGAACTCCTATAGTCGCAAAGCATAGATGTGCAAAAGACTTGTAGATGTGCAACTGCAGAGCATGCACGTTCACTCGGTCGAAGATGGCGCTTCAGAAACTCGAACGCCTCTTCTGTTTTGAAATCGACAAAACGAATAAAAGATGAATAAATCCAATAAAATTGGATTATTAAAATAAATATATTTGGTGTAAAATATATTACATTTTCTTTCACAAACTTCCGTTTTTCAGACCACTTTTTTGCTTTTCTTTTGAAGTGATTTTTAACGTACATTTTTAAATATACAGGCAAGTTTATATATATTAAAAGCCGATTTCCCTGAGTAAATAAAATCTTTACACAATTGTTTTCATCACATAATGACTGTGTTTAAAAATCTTCATTATTTAAATAATTATCTATATAATAATTAATTATTATATATTATTGTAAGACTATGAGATGAAAACAAAATACAGATATATTATTAATAACAATTTTTGATTATAATATGTAATTATAAAAATATAGCAATATTGTAGAAATAAATCGAAAAAAATGCAAAAAAACAACATGTCATTGAAAACAAATAAAAACCGTCATCTACCAAAAATTTCAATTTACTTATGACCCTAGACAATATTAGAATATGTATGATAAATTTATGATTAAGAATAAGAAAAATAAAATGTTTACATTATTATTGCCAAAAAGCGGCTGAAATGTGCCAGAAATTGAAATAATATAAAATACAGTATATGTATGGCAGATTGAATGATACACATATAAAAGGGATTTGACAAATTAATTCACTTAAAAAAACAAATGGGAAAGTAAAGATAAATAAATACAACTCGGCCCTTACGATAACAATTAGGAGAAGTTTAAGATGCAATTTTGGATATCTTAAATATTAAAAAATTAAATTAAAATAGTCCAACATGTAGTACCAGTGTTATGTTTAATAATAAATGCTACAATGTTTTGCTCTCTATGATTTGCTCAATAGAATAAATCGCATAAAAAGCTCAAAATAAATAAGTAAAATGTTTCAAGAGACAAATATTAATTAAGGATAAAAATTTTAATAATAAACTGTTAAAACAAATAAAATAATAAGGCGGGGGGCGCTGAAGAAAAATAGCATGCGGGCGCTGAGAACCCGAGTAGCGATCCTGGTAATAATGTATAATAAATTATGACTAAGAAAAATGTAATTTAGATATTGTAATTACTAAAAAACAATTAAAATATAATACGAGATTATAAAAATTGTAGGCAACATTATTGGAGTAATTAGAAAAATTCCAAGGTAGTATTGTACTTTTACTGCGGATATTACCTGCTACGTATTAGTTTTTTCTGAATTTGCTGTACCGTTTAAGAGACTTAAATTTCCAATATAATGTGGGAATTGAGATTCATCATTTTATTTAAAGCAGTTCTACATTTAGCATCGCTCATATTCTTGTATATGCATTTTGATGCGAAGAGTAATTTAAAAAACAATAATTATTATTTTTAGGTAAACGGAAAATATTAATATGGGATATTAAAAAATTGTAGAAGTGGGTACAGGACAACGTCTGTCGGGTCATCTAGTATATATAATATATTTATTTAAATTAAACTAAAAATTTTATATAATTTACTTATTAACATCCAGGTAGAATTTTCCCTATGTAGTACTCTCCTCAGGAAATTGTTTTTTCCATTCAGCACCATAAACATTCGCTAGAGCAAAATAAATTTATCAATAACATTGATCAAATAAAAATAAATTTTATTGAAAATTCATCACCACTGATTCAAAATAGCAGCACTATCGTATTTGGTGACAGTACCATCAGAGTTATTTTTATTTATTCCTTTTGTGAAATCTATAGACACGATATCCGAGCCGTCAAACATTTTGGCAATCTCGTTGAATCGCTACCTGGGCTGGATCATGTGGAAAATGTAAATCCTGGTGTCGAAATCCAAATGGTAAGCTTGATTCTTGGCCTGGAGGAGGATGAAATATTGGTATAAGTCATAATGTTTTATTGCATTTGAATGTACTTGAAGTACCTTAAGGGAAACTATAATTTTTCCTGCAAGTTTCTTGTTGCTCGGGTAACTATCAGGAAGGGAGAGTAGTCTCAAAATTTCCAACTTAGTATCACCAGAAGCACCTTCATATAGCATCATCAACAGTAATTTTACGCATACTGGGGAAACTAGGAGATTACTTGTTGATTTTGTTGATGTCTTAAAAAAAACAAAAACATACATGTTGTGAAAATTGTAAAATTACATCTCGTAAATTTTTTTTATTTATATTTATAAAGCACACTCGGTTTTTGGAAAATACTATAAAGAAAGTATTTGAAAAATACTAGTGGTGCATGGCATAGTGCCTTAAGGCAAATTTCTAGAACTTTCCGTACAGTAATTTAAAATTTTAAAAATCTCAGAATAGAACAAATATTTTTTTTGGAGAATCTTGAATTTTTTTGACCATTTTGAAAGCAGCATAATTTGAATACTTAAATAACAGCATTTTTTGAAAATACTGATTTTTAACTTTCCTTAGAGTTACTAATTGATTGTTTTTGTTTATAGGGTAAACGACAACTTCAAGCCAAGTAGTCTTCAACTCTCAAGTTACTCAAGACTTGTTCTCCAGCAAAAATAGTCGCTCGATCTATTAATTATGCTGTTCCTAGTAACTCTACCTACTATAATGCATTGAAAAGTTAAGTGCACAGATGTTAATGAAATAATGAATTAATATATTGTATTTAATTTAATTTGTTGTTTTAATTTAATTATGAGCGACTTTTAATTTTACATTATGCTGTAACGTATTTTACAAAAATATTTATTATACCTTATACATTTGCTTTGACTTGGTAGATGATCAACGTTGGTCAATACACTTTGCTTTTTTGCAAACCTTGATGGTGCTGGAGTGTCTTAAATATTTAATGTGTTGGATCGATGTCTACTAAATAAAATAGATAAAAATTAAATTTTTTATCACTTTTATATATGATGCACTTTTCTTAGCTATAAATATAACTTAATTTGATATCATACTATATCTGTAACATAAATGTAAATTTAATTTAAACCTTTTAGAAATGTTATCGACTTTCTAAAAATATAGAAGTACATAGATTTATATTAAAATTGATTAAGATTAATTTAATAATTTAAATTGGCACTGATTACTCATAGTTATAAACATTAAATACAAATCAAAAATTATAAAATTAATACATACGTACAAATTTAGCCAAAAACATCAGATAGGAACTACCAAATATTTGTTTACTAAAATTATATTTAGTTATAATTGAATGAACAAAATGTGTATGATGCATTATATATATACACACATATATATTTTGTTAAACGCTTGAATGGGCTCTGTGAGTCTTGAGCCATTCCAGATTCGCCAGGACGCTGGTGAAAACTGTGTATTGATTAGAGTCGCATGATCCATCCCGAGTTGGCCCTACGGAAACAACGCCCCTGAGGAAGTATACGGTTGTGTTTTGGTCCAATGCCCGAGGAAAACAAAGGCCGCCGCCGCTGTCCCCTTGACAGACGCTGCTACCGTTCTGATATCCGGCGCAGAATTTTCCGGGCGTCAAATATGGACGGAAATCGGCCGGAAAATTCTCGCGGCATGCGTATCGGGGAACACTTGGAAGAGTTATGGATTTGAGTTCTTCACTTGGCTCACCATTCTCAGTCGTCAAACCCCAGCCGGATACCTAATAAATAAATAAATAAAACAATAATTTAAATATTTGAAATATGTCGATATTCTAACTTGTATGAAAAATTTATTATTCTTTGACTGATATCCTACTTAAATAAAATACAAACGTTAATAATGATAAGAATGACAAGTGAGCATATAATTATCAAATTGGATTTTCAAGCAAAAACATAAAACTCTCCTTCGGGAAGTTTAAATTCGAGAAAAAAATAATAAATTAAATTTATAAAAAAGTTACAAAAGTAGTAATTGCTTACAATTCCAGGTGTGTTTGGCTTCAATTCTTCCTCTTCGCCCCTGAACGTCCATTGCACGCATATAGGACGTACAAATGGTGAAAACGTTAATGCAAATTGTGTAATAATAATGGCAATATCTTGGGCGTAGTTGCCAATCAAATCGTCATACCTAAATAGTGTTTTTTTTTTGAAAAATATTTATATTCATAGTAATAACTACCAGTACGAGAAGTCATATTAATCCTAAGCAATATCATAAACATTACGTTGAAGGTATGAGAAGCTGATCTACATTGTTGAGTTGAGCAAACACATCTCGCTCGTCAAGCCATTTTCTGTAAATCTTTCCTACAGCAACCGCAAATTTTGATTTATCATATGGCTCCGAACCACCGGTCGGATAAAAGCAATGAGCGGCTGAAAAACATATATATATATATATATATATATATATGTTTAATTTGAGTTTAATATTCGGGCGTAACATCAATAAAAATATTTATTATTGATGTTATTTTTATTGATGTTACGCCCTCATTATTTTTATTGATGTTACGCCCGAATATTAAACTCAAATTAAACATACATATCAACATCAAATTCAAGACTATTCAAATATATATATATATATATATATATATATATATATATATATATATATATTTGAGTTCATACATTGATATACGGAATCGTTAAATTTAAATATAATGAAATTTACTTCTAAAATTCATTAATGAATTGGTTGATTGGTTGATTGGTTGATTGGTTGATGCATTAATGAATAATTTTACTATAAGTCATAGTATTGTGATTATATTTTTCACATGTAATTTCGTAAATAAAATTATTTATTTACACCAAAAATGGTTTTCAATTCATTTCGGAATTATTTTTAGTTGTTAGTGCACAAAACTTATTCACACAGAATTTAATGAAAAAGTATCTTATTAATTTTAATAAATTCACAAACAATAAATGTATTTTTTACCGGTTATAATCATTTTCGCATTAATTATTGATCCTCCGCATATTTGCTTATTGTATCTATTGTCTGTTTCATTTTTTTCATAAATTCCTGCATGCCAAGGAAAATCTCCAACCCTAACTTTTTGACCACCTATGATCAATCCGTGACCTTTTGGAGATGGAAGACCGCATTCTGAAATGCAATTTGTATAATTAAAAATATTAGGGATTATTTTGTTAAAAACTGCTAATAATCATAATTAGAATACAGGATTTAAAAGTTTTAACAAACCTGGTGTGCATTTGAAAGGACTAGAATTCCAAGTTCCATCAATATCACAGGTTATTCTCGTGTTGTCAGGTGCATAGTAAAGTGTGTATCCTTTTTTACAAGTTAAATCTGCCGTAGTTCCTGCCGCCATGGGATTTTCGCATGACACTTTTTCATTCTTGTAAACGCAATATATGTCCACACTAGTTGAGGTAAGTGGATTGCACATTTCTAATAAAAAAATATAAATATTAACAATAGCATGATCATAGAAGAAATAAATGTAACATGCATTTTCTTTACTTCGACATAATGGTATAGAACTCCAAGAACCTCCTACGCAAAATATGGTTTCACTACCACTCAAAAAGTAGCCAGGATCACATTTATATTTGAGAACTGTCCATTCATTAATTGGCATTCCTGGTTCTGGGTCAGAACTTTGCCCTCCAATTAAATAACGTCCATTATTTGGTATAGCAGGAAGTTTACAATGAGCCGAACTTGTCAACGACCTTGGGATAAATATTGGTGGCATTATTTATAAGTTAAGTTGCAAAGTATATTTTTTATTACCTATTAGAATCATTATTTTTATATTTTATGGTACTCACACAGATGCATTAGCTCTGAACTCAGGACCACAAAATTCAGGCAGATTTTTATTATGTTGAAGATGATTTTTCTAAGACATATGTGCGAGATTAAATTTATAGAAACATTTCGCTTTGATGTTGTCATTTTACAGAATTAGCAATTTTTCACAGCCATTATTTTAATAAATTTGTTTGTTGATTATTACAATATGGTAAGCAATTAGCACATTTTTATCATTTTTTATCTATACTAGAGAATAAATTTATAAAATTCTAATGTTTAACTTTTTTTTAAGTCCGATGGAGTTTTAAAAAATGTGATTACTTTCCGATATATACCTTATATTATATATAATATATATAAAAGATTTAGTTAGTTTTTTGTAGAGTTATGAGTTACATCATTAAATAGCTCTTATTCTTGGTGTTAAATTTTGCTCACCTCTTGTAGTAAAATCCATGGTAGATGTACATATATGTTAGTAATGGCAAAAAAATCAACAGATCTACCATAGGCGGAAGCGACGCCTTTTAAAAAGTACACGGGTTCAAACGACTTGTAGTCAGGAACAAAATATCCGCCACCCAAAAAACCAAATGGAATTTCTAACCCTGTTTTATTAAAATACCATTTATATATATATATATATTAAAAAGATTTCCATTACAACAAACATACCAAAACTTAGATTTCCTGCACAGAATTTATCATAAGATTGATAATATCTTTTGAAGGGATATTCGAAATTTCCGCAACTCGTATTCGATATATATGGTAATGATAAATTATACACAAAACGTACAGTATCAAAAGTTTGACTATCGGTGCTATACCCTGGTACCTAAAACATTACAAATACCATTTAAATCATATTTAAGTAAAATTTTAATATTATTTATAAGTTAATAAATATGTATTGTTTGTTTTCACTTACGTATCCCATTTCTCCAATTTCTGGCTCTTCTATGGGTCCATTAAATAGTCTTTCTAAACAAATAGGCTTAATTATATCACTAAAGGTAAATTCGCCTTTGATAAGAATGATTGCAATATCATTTGGTCGACCCTCATGGTTAGTATCAAATCTAAAATGAATCATAATAACTAACTAGACTTCATAAGCAAATAATTACTCAAAAATTAAGATTTCAGGGTTATATTCATTATTAAAAAATGTATTATGCAACCAAATGTTAAAATATGCTATTATAATATTTTAATTGAAGTAAAACTGTAGAAAGCAGTGCTGCGACAAAAAAAAAACAGAATTTATGATAAAACAAAGTTTTTTGTGCAAAATACCCCTTAGGAACGATGATTTTTTCGATTTCATAATGCTGATCATAAATATCCTCTGTTTTATTAAATCTGAACACACTAGATCCTACGACAACTCTGCGATCGTCCAAGTCGATGTCTGGCTTATGGGCGCAAAGAGCAGCTAAAAATAAGTAAAATATTACCTACTCATAATATGGTTCATAGACATGAATAAAAATTATGTGATGAAACAAACTTGTAATTATCATTCTTGAGTTGATAATAGAGCCCCCACAACTGAATAGGAATTGTACTTTTCTTAAATCTTTTCTTCGTGTAAACAACATAGCATACCATGGATATTGACCCGCTAAGTAAGTTACAGGAGGGTCCGAATTAAAAATAGTTTCAATTGGTGTTGGATTACCACATTCTGTAATAAAATATAAATGAATAATACTGAGAAAAGTGTACATGAATAAAAAAAAGACTTAGAACAAACGCAGTCAATAAACAATTCAAATGTTACATAAACTGATAATACCTAGAACTTATTAGTATTTATTAGAATGTATTATGAGCAAAATACAAAATTGCGTATACAAAATTTATATATATATATTTATTTAAACCGAAATATAAATGATTATTTATGTATGTGTGCATGTGTGTTTTTATGCAAATTTTAAGACTAACGTTGACGTCATTCTCGGCAGATCATGCAGACCTACATGTTGAATATTCCAGTTTACCATCATACGGAATTTTATTTTATTTTTACAAAACGTATGACATTCTTGCCTGCAGTGTGAAAATCCATGATTTTTTCATTCTAAGAATCTCACCAGCTTACTCTAATATAAAACTTTATATATATATATATATATATATATATATATAATTTTAAATACAAATATTAATCGTTCAATAAAATTATTGTCCAATTAAACTTATCCCACCTGGTTCACAAGAGAATAAACAATTATCCCAAATTCCATCATTTTCGCAATTGATTTGCGTGAACTCTGGTTCTTTGTGTAATTGGAATCCTGGTTTGCACGCCAAGTTTGCCTTAGTCCCGGGCTGCATACGGCTGGTGCAGGGCACCGTGCGAAATCCCCTTTGGCATTGGATGTCCAGAGTGTCAGACTTTAATTCTGTGCATGTTCTAAGAGAAATAAATTTAATAGTAAATTAAATTTTGAGATTAAAGCAATATTTTTCATATAATTAAAAGTATTAAATTTAAACGTTAAATTAATTAAGTAGAAAAAAAATTTCACTTTATATCAAAAACTAGTAAAATTGTTATTACTATATAATTTTTATTAACAAAAATATTTATTAATTTTAAGTTGTGGTAAATTGTAATCGAAGTTGATGGACTGTTGAATTAATTGTAATTAAGAATCAAGTTCAATTATGTTTGAATTTTTCTTATTAATTTATTAACATGATAGAAATTACTGCAATAACAAAACTGCATACCAATAAGCATTTTTTCTTCATATTTACCTCCGAGATTGCTGCGCGCTGGATATAATTACTGAAACATGACAAAAATTTATTGCTGAAACGTGATTTAAATTAATTTATAAACATTTTTTAACAAAAACATAATATTACTTGAACGATTTATAAAGAAGTATATACGAGAATTATATGTAACTTAGAGATTACAAGTTGAGACAATTGAGATCGAAATTTATATTTTGTATTAGTGTAACATAATACTAAACACATACTTCTTTAGTTTGGCCTTAACTTACCAGAAATATATAGTATAACGAACACACAAAAATTATTATTTATAGTCATTGCGAATATTTTTTGCTATTGAAATTATATTTTTTATATGATTATAATCACATGAATTTACTTATATACATAATATAAAAATATTCCTATATGCCCTGTATTAATTTACTTAGTTAAACCAATGAAATAGGTTATTTTCATAATATTAATTCGATAATAAATAATTTCAGTAATAGTGTTCGGTTTGCTTCTAATTTGTCATATAAACAATCCTGTGTATGCTTTTGTATATATGGGGCCAGTGGGGGAAACCAGTATTTTGCAACAAAATAAGCAGAAGCCGGGATTTTTGCTCGTGCATTTGACCCATACTAATGATAAATATGATATAAGTGCGCAATTGAAATTATTCAATAACAAATATGGATTTAAAAACTAAATATAGCTTTTAATATAATCATAATCTAAGCGTATCAAAATAAACTAGTAACGAGGTAAAATATTATTAACTTCCCGTAAGGTAATTATGATATTTGTTTAAATTTGTGTTGGAATTTATGATATTAATTAACTGAGAAACTAAATGAAAGGGTGTCAACCAAAATTTATAAATAGGCAATATAAATAAATCATTAAAAATACAGCTTATTTAAATCTAACAACAAATAAATAAATAAAGATTATTTAATAATAATTATATTAGTATTAAGATAAACATCGTCTCAAACTCTTAAATTATCCATTTGCTAAACATATATTTCATCAATATCCATTATTATTACAGAAAAGATTGGTATACGCATAACACTTCTTTTATTTATGGGTGTACCTATAAGTGTATGAATGCGTGCATTTGTAAATATATAGATATAAAGATGAAGATGAACTGTATTAAATCAATGTGACCATATACTTTTTTTGAGTCCAAACTGAGATGCATACCAGTACGGGGAAGGGGGTGTGCTTTAAAATGACAAATGCTATTTGAGGATACAATAAAAAAACTGTTTTTTATGAATCATTTTCTTTAATCAGAATTGCGGATTTTTAGTATGAATGCTATAATTTGATAATATATAATACTTTTTTTATTTAAGATAATAAATTATATCTTATATTTTTCGATCTATATGTTTTTTCGCGTTTCAGCCTTCTATAAAATGTTATTCAATTTTCTTCATAATTTGAAATTATTAGTACTAGTTCGTATGTTGGCATAATTTTTGTTAATTTGCTTATTAATTTTTGAAAAACAGACAATCAGGCATAAAAGATCTCAATCCAGTACAATTATTGGAACGTATGATCACCTTAATTAAACGCTTAAATGGGCTCTGTGAGTCTTGAGCCATTCCAAATTCGCCAGGACGCTGGTGAAAACAGTATATTGGTTAGAGTCGCATGATCCATCCCGAGTTGGCCCTACGGAAACAACGCCCCTGAGAAAGTATACGGTTGTATTTTGGTCCAATGCCCGAGGAAAACAAAGGCCGCCGCCGCTGTCCCCTTGACAGACGCTGCTACCGTTCTGATATCCTGCACAGAATTTTCCGGGCGTCAAATATGGACGGAAATCGGCCGGAAAATTCTCGCGGCATGCGTATCGGGGAACACTTGGAAGAGTTATGGATTTGAGTTCTTCACTTGGCTCACCATTCTCAGTCGTCAAACCCCAGCCGGATACCTGATAAATAAATAAATAAAACAATGATTTAAATATTTGAAATATGTCAATATTCTAACACGTATGAAAAATTGTTACTCGCTGCCTGAAATCCTAGTTGGGCCATGAATTAGTTGTAGTGTTTTATGAAAATATTTCACATATTAACCATAATGTTCTTTTTTAAGAAGTCAATGGTACTTAAGATATTTTAAAGAATTAAAGCACATGCTTACAATTCCAGGTGTGTTCGGCCTCAACTCTTCCTCCTGTCCCCTGAATGTCCATTGTATACAAATGGGTCGTACAAATGGAGAAAACGTCATCGAGAATTGCGTGATAATTAGAGCAATATCTTGAGCGTAGTTTCCAATCAAATCGTCATAACTAAATAATAATATATTTTAATATATATTATATATATATATACCTATATATAATATATATATATATATATATATATGTGTGTGTGTGTATGTGTGTATGTGTATTTAAATCTTACGTAGGGGGTATGAGAAGCTGGTCTATATATTGCGTTGAGCAAACACATCACGATCGTCAAACCAACCTCTGTAAATCTTTCCCACGGCCACGACAAATCTTGATTTGTCATAAGGTTCCGTACCACCAGTCGGATAGAAGCAATGAGCAGCTAAAATATATTTAGAAATGCATATGAATAATATAATTGCTTTAAATTTTATTGTTTTGTTGGAGCTCAATATAAACTCAAAACTTCAACACTAGAGTAAGTTATTTATTTGGTAAAAAATATAATTTTACCAGATATAATCGTTTTTGCATTGATTATGGATCCACCGCATATTTGTTTATTGTATTTATAATTTGTTTCATTTTTTTCATAAATTCCTGCATGCCAAGGAAAATCGCCAACTTTAACTTTTTGCCCGCCTATGACCAAACCATGGCCTTTTGGAGTAGCAAGACCACATTCTGAAATTTTAATTGTATCACTACAAATGTCAGAAGCTATTCACGTTTAAGCTTTTTATTATTAACTAATAACAATTGTAATTAAAATCCAGTATGTAAAATCAACGAACCTGGCGTGCATTTAAAGGGACTGGAATTCCAAGTTCCATCATATCACAAGTTATTCTAGTATTGTCAGGTGCATAGTAAAGTGTGTATCCTTTTTTACAAGTTAAATCTGCCGTGGTTCCTGCCGGCATTGGATTTTCACATGGCACTTCTTCATTCTTGTTTGTGCAATATATGTCCACACTAGTTGAAGTAAGCGGCTTACACATTTCTAATGAAAAAATATAAAGATTAACAATATCATGATCATAGGAGAAATAAACGTAAAATAAATTTCTCTCACTTCGACATAATGGTATAGAACTCCAAGAACCCCCTACGCAAAATATGGTTTCACTGCCACTCAAAGAATAACCAGGATCACATTTATATTTAAGAACAGACCATTCACCAATTGGAGTTCCTGGTTCGGGATCAGAACTCTGTCCTCCGACAAAATATCGCCCATTATTTGGTTTTGCAGGCAGTTTACAATGAACAGAACTTGTCAATAGCCTATGGAGAAAAAAATTTTATTTTTCATATATTATTTATATTTTATCAGAATTATTATTTTATATTTGATGATACTCACGCAGATGCGTTGGCTCGGAATGCTGGACCACAAAATTCAGGAAGCTTTTCATTTTGTTGGAGATGATTTTCTTAAGAAATTTTGATGATATTCAATTAATAAAATGTCAATAGACATGCAGATATTTAAGGGTATTTTAAGCATTATTATGCAGACTATAGTAATCTTTGGTTGAAGCAAACAATAACATAAAATAATTAAGAAGAGATATCTAATTCGTAAAATTCAAATGTTCGTAACTAATTTAAAAAAACAAAATACTTTCAGAATAATAGAAAGAAATAATCTTATAATATAAAATATTGTTCTCTAGATTTTAAATCACCTCTTGCACTAAAATCCACGGTAGATGTATCTTTATATCAGTTATGCCAAAAAGTTGACGGATCTACCATAGGCGGAAGCGACTCCTTTTAAAAAGTACACGGGTTCAAACGACTTGTAGTCAGGAACAAAATATCCACCACCCAAAAATCCAAATGGTATTTCATATCCTATTTTATTATAAAAAAAAATAAAGAACAGGTATATTTATTGAAAATAATTATATTAAAAACGTACCAAAACTTAGGTTTCCTGCACAGAATTTATCATAAGATTGATAAAATCTTTTAAAGGGATATTCAAAATTTCTGCAACTTGTATTGGAAATATATGCCAATGATACATTATACACAAATCGTACAGTATCAAGAGTTTGTCTATCAGTACTATATCCTGGTACCTAAAATAACATTATATAGAACAAATATATTTTCTGCATATGATTTTCGTAAAAGTTTAGTTAATAATAAATTATGTTTTATTATATATTGTTTATAAATAATTCTTGACTTACGTATCCTATTTCTCCTTCTGGCTCTTCTATGGGTCCATTAAAATGTCTTTCTAAACAAATCGGCTTAATTATATCACTGAAGGTGAACTTTCCTTTAACTAGAATAATTGCTATATTATTTGGATTGCCTTCTTTTTTAATATCAAATCTAGAATAGATCATAATAACTAAATAGAAATTATTTATAAAAAAGTACATTTATAGAAACATTCTTTAAAAGAAAATGTGTCTTTATTAGTTATTATTGTTTAGAAGTTTTTTTATAGAACGTTGAATATTGTGTTAACGTGAGGAGTTGTCTAAACAAATTTTGCTAATATTTTTATTTAGTTTGAAAAATACCCTTTAGGAACGATGACTTTTTCTATTTCGTAATGCTGAGCATAAATATCTCTGTTTTATTAAACCGAAATACACTAGATCCCACAACAACTCTCTGATCATCCAAATCGATTTCTGGCTTATGAGCGCAATAAGCAGCTGAAAATATACACAATATTAGCAATTTATCACATTTTATAATATGAAATTTTAATGATAAACCAAACTTGTAACTATCATTCGTGAGTTGATAATTGAGCCCCACAACTGAATAGAAATTGTCCTTTGAATAAATCTTCCCTTCGGGTGAACAACATTGCATACCATGGATATTGACCTGCTAAGTATGTTACAGGTGGGTCCGAATTAAAAACAGTTTCAATCGGTGTTGGATTACCACATTCTATAATAAAATTTAAAACATCAATTGCAATATAAAACTGGCCTAATTAGGTTGAAATATAAAAACATTCCCTAATTAAGTTTATCCTACCTGGTTCGCAAGAAAACAGACAATTATCCCAAATCCCATCATTTCCGCAATTAATTTGCGAGAACTCTGGTTCTTTGTGCAACTGGAATCCTGGTTTGCACGCCAAGTTTGCCCTGGTCCCGGGCTGCATACGGCTGGTGCAGGGCACCGAGCGAAATCCTCTTTGACATTGGATGTCCAGAGTGTCAGACTTTAATTCGGTGCATGTTCTAAGAGAAATAAATCGATAAAATAAATTCGGAGGTTGAGACGATACTTTTCATATAATTGTAAGTGTAAGCATATTTGATCAATGAATTAAGCCATCAAAAAAGCATAATATTACATATTTCAA